GTAAGTGTGTGTGTGAGAGAGAGAGAGAGAGAGAGAGAGAGAGAGAGAGAGAGAGAGAGAGAGAGAGAGACCTGCAGCATGCAGCATGTCAGTGGCGGAGCACAAGGGCAGGCGCTGACCTCCAAAAAAAAATTAATTTGATTGGAATACAATACTTTTTTCTTTTCAAAATCCGAATAGAAAGGGTACACGTGGTATTCGAATACAACATGTAGGTGTTCTATTCGCGGTTCTCTCTTATTCAATAAAAGTGAGCCTGCACTGTTTCTATTTCGAAATGTTCAAAGCTCAAGGACAACGGTCTCCTCGGCCTTCTACGTGCAGCTACCGGTCCTACTCGGTCCTGATCCTTGCAAGGCCCCAAAACCTAAAAAAAAATGCTCACTCTCCCCAACGACCACCGACGTTGAAATTTGAAGTGACATTGAAATGTCTACGGGGGAAAAAACGCAACCGTGACCGTGACAGGCTGCGAACGCAAACGTGTTCATCCTTGCGTTTTCTATCATATTGTCTATCTATGCTTTCTGGGTATGGATGACTTGTGACGATTTGTGAAGGGAAAGAGACAAAGAAACTGGGGGCACACACACAAAAACACATACGTGCACACACATATACAGGCTATTAGGAAAAGATATGCAGGGAAGGGCAAGCATTAGTGGCAGGAATCCAAGCTAAGGATATTCCTACGGAAAACACACAGAGTAAGTTGATACTTGGACCCCAATATTGAAAGGTTTCAAACCCGTATTCTGGGCCGGAAACTAATCTTGGCTTGCCTATATTTACCCGGGTTCATGATTTCTTCTCCCATCTGTCCTTAGTGTAGCACCTGGTCGAGTACCTAACCACCCATCCATGAATAGGCACCAGACGTGCATGGGCCCCTAGCCGCTGCAACGCGTTTTTTCTCGGGATTTGGACGCAACCCCCGCTATTTGAAAAATTCCCCACCTGGCCCAACGCCTAAGGCCGACACCGGGACTTTGGTCCGAAATCAAAACAGGTTGCACGAAGCAGTGGTAGACCTAGCGGTAGACGATTTGTCTGTTGACCGAGTACTTGGTTGGGTACATCTCTTGAGCTCGGTTATTATCGAGTGGGGTTTTCTGATGCATGCCCTATGAGCAACCGACGCGCGCTCTATGACCAACGGCGGGAATTGCGTGATTCCCATCACTTTCCTCCCCCCACCCTTTCTGTTTGAACATCCCCAAGATTGTACTTATACGAGCCTCTACACCCACCTCGGAGTACGAATGAGTTGTTTGCTTTGGACATTGTAATCTGCCAGATTGTTACGAGCGGAGTCAACGACCCAGTTGAGTTTCCTGACTATGGCGGACTATGACTTCACCACTGGGGCGGACGAGGACCTGCCAATCACTCTGGAACCCGATGAGGATATTGCGGCGGAGGAGGCGGTACATGGTCTTTTTTTGCCTACCCCTTTGTGTGTGTGTGGTATAATGGTTGTTTGTGCTGCCTGAGTGTGGATGTGCAATATTTTGCAAGGTATGATATTTTATGGGCAGGGCCTTTCGCTGATACTGCTTCATTACTTTTAGCATCTGCATGACGACGAACTTAAAAACATAAAACGGATGAGGATTTGATGTTTTGGAGTATGAGTACGCATTGACAAAGAGAGGGGATTAAAGTTGACTATTTTTTTACTTGCTATCTCTTTGGTGCGAGCATAAAAGGCATAGTGAGCACATGTAGTGCTACGATGGTCAAGTGGAAATTTGTTTTCGATTGTTATTGACCATAACAAAATCAGGAGTAACGCTCAGATAAGTTGTGACGGTAGGAAGTGATCACTAGCACTATACAGACATAGGATATAGAGGGCTATATGGTCGATTCAAAATCCTCTTCCTAATCCTGCAATGTCAGTTGTTGCTCTACTCTACAATATTTGAACTCAAATCATCTTTTTTATTCTCCTGGCCCACTCAATTGCATGCTTGACTCTCTTCCTTATTCCCCGCTTTTCTTCCTTCATCTCTCTCTCTCTCTCTCTCTCTCTCTCCTTTCTTCCTCTTCTTCTTCGCCCTCTTTTTGCTTTCTCAAAGAAACGATTGATCACTATATTATGCCTCTATTCCTCCGCATAACTCAGTGGCTGAACCCTAGTTCATACTATCATTATTGAAAGCTCCGGGCGATAACTTGAATTATTACAATCGGTAAAATCCATACATGTTTAACCCGTGTAATTGGCAATGCAATCCCCTGGGCATCCTATGAATTTCTTTTTCCCCATTTTAACTATCGTGAAATTCTCATTTGGTTGGCGGATTCAACATAGCTAACATATATTTGTGACGATATATGTTTATATATATATAATATTATATATGTATGTATAATATTTTATATATATATATATATATATATATATATATATATATATTTGATATGAAAAAAAAAACGTGAGCAATCTTGGATATCCTCCGATACTCACTTATCTTCTTTTCCTTTCATTCTATCTTAGATGCTGCTTTTTGATTAACTTGTTGTTGCCTGGGAATGGGATACCTGAGTGGGAAAAGTTTTGCCGTCGTTGACATTTCTGCACTAGCAAGGTAGAATGGATGGGTGGTAGACTAACTGCATGTGTTGGGAAAAAACTGGACCTGGTGTACCACTGTAATGGTGGAGTACATGGCAGAAGCGATATGAGATCTATACATGAACACACAGAGGGT